ACACACACACACACACACACACACACACACACACACACACCTTTTCCCCCACCCCTTTTCTCCTGCCAAATTTTAATAGTTACCGATAAAGAGAAATATTTCGTGATCACACGCGAGAGATTGGGGTACCATACTCTTTCCACAAAATAGAGTTTCAGCAATAATCGTATATTATTTGAGGAAACGGAGCACCATACTCTACTTCAGAAACTAGTGTAAGTTACGAACACATAATTAATATCTTTGGTTAAGTTTTAGTGAGAGTTTTACGGCACTGGCAACACAGTTAGGTCATGTAAATCTCGAAGATTAAAGGTGTTACAAGAGAAAAACAAACAAAAAAGGAGGGAAGATTAGGACAATTGATCTTTGATTGGAAAGAAGGAGTAAACCATACTGGAGCACCCTCCAACCTCCCACATAATGATATCGTATATTATCAATGTCTGACGATGACCAATGCATCCGTAGGGAAGAAGAATATTTCTCGAGCGAAGTAAAAGAAGAATCAAAGGTTTAGATGACTTTTGACTTCTGCTATACTCAACGAGACCAATTCTGGCACAGAAATGTTTGCCATAATAATATATTTTAAGTTTAAGCATTCAAAAACTCCACCTTCTCTTGTGGGTGTACGTAGCTTGTGGGCTTCTCTCTTGGTGTCGGTATTTCTCATTAATTATTGTGTTTAAATGATGTATTATTATAAATATGATGGGGAAACGGGGCGCCATACTTTACAACAGGAGCGAGTGTAAATTTCCCTGGGCTAACTCCTACACAGAAGCACAGGCGAGGCGCTCACAGCTCGATGCAATCTGCTTGTTTTTGGAGCCTGACTCAAATGAGCCGAAACTGAACGCGGACTGAGAGTGAAAAGGCTCTATCTGCCTCAAAATACGTTGTAAAAATAACCCTTTTTTGATCCCTGATTTCATCTAGTTTTGGAATACCTATTTTTATGGCATGCTAAAACGTCGCATTTTTTTTTTTCGTTTTGTGCATTTTTCCAGGGAAAATACTCAGGAAGAGTTACCCCCCTCCCCACCTCCCACACCCCACCCCCTCTCAACCCAGCAACGTCCGTCCCAACACAACCTCTTTTTATAATTGTCTATCTATCTATCAATCCATCCATTCATCCATCCTTCCTTCCATCCATCCATCCATCCAT